GCGACCCCGGACCGCGAGCGGACGCATTTAGGGAGCCGTTCCCCGACAGACGGCGGGGCGCTCGGCCTCTGCGTCTGGGCTGAGCACGGCGACGCTGCTGCTCTGAAATCCTCCTGGATCTTGAGGCGGTAGGTGGCGGGGCAGGGTGAGCGACTTTGGGGGGAGGAGGCGGTTGGGGCTTCGTCTCGGGGACTGGACACCCGGAAAGTTGAGGTGAGGGAGAGAAGCTCTGGGGTGGGTCGGGACAGATTACTTCAGGGCCTCCATAGGGTCCCCAAAGTGGGGTATAGCCTGGGATGGGAGCGAGCACTTCGGCTAAGGGAGAAGGAAAGCGTTGTGGCTGATGAGGGAAAACCGGGCGGAGGGACAGGTGAATAAGGGAGAGTTAAACTGCTGGGGGAAAAAAGTAAGTACACAGCGCCCTCTGTGTCCTGGGCCCGGTGCTAGGTGGTGACATGGTTTGAAGACTTCCCATGCCCTGGCATCATCTTTGCCAAATTTATGGCAAAAGTTTTACTTTGCTGGCGTTTTAGCAAAGCTACAGGAAAGGGCAGTTACGTTAGTTACGAGAATCACAAACACCTATAACCTGGACAGTTTTATCCCATCTAAAATATTAAATGGTGTTTGTACTGAAAAACACATCAACTAGACTTTTTTTCTTTTTAGTCAGTTGTAACGAGAAGACATAAAATGGAAAATATGATGGTTTATAACTTTTTGTTATTTTAGTTTTTTTCTTGAAGAGTGCAACCAGGTTTGTGAAATGTAAAACGCCTTTCGTCACCTGAGTCATAACTGGCTTTTCTCCTGCTCCCCGTACTTCCCTTATGTTACTTCTCATCTATCAGTTTATCAGTACCTACTATTTACTTACAGGCAAGTTGCATTTAGTTTCAAGAAATACTAACTTTGTAAAAGTAATATTTTGAAGTTGGAAATTGATGTTAAATCTCATCTGGTTATCATATGGGAAATATACACAAGGTAGATGAAAATATGGTCTTTTCATTTCTTCACTCAGCTGTTTCTTTCATGGTACAGTAAAACCTGTGAAAGCCGGAACCCATGTAAGGTGGAAACCTGTCAGAGAAGGAAAACGCAAATATTTTCCACTTATAAAGAGTGATAGGAAAGTGGTAAGACTGCACCCTGTCAAAGGCGGGAATTTTTTGAGACCTGGAGGAACAAGGCAGTCCTGTTGAGTTCTGGCTCTCACAGGTTTCACTGTATTTTATATAATTATTTCTTAATTACAGCAGAACCATCAGCACTTACTAAAGAAATCTATAATTTAAATGAGAGATTCCCAGCTTCTAAAACCAATACGTAAGTATGTTTAATATGTTGTGATCTGTGATTAGTATGACAGTGTACCATGTCTACAAAACGAGGAAAGGATAGTAATCCCATAATTTAGTTAGTGTTCTAGGGAAGATTATAAACTGAGGAAATGAAAATTACTACCGCATCCCAATTTATTCAGCAGGGCTTTCCATAAATGTGCCTTCTCATAAGTTAATTTCTTTATCCGTACATGCATGCCTATCTACAGCATTCCCAACTGGTTAATAGAAAGAATTGGAATAGTGGGCAGTTTATTTCAGTTGTCTTTAAAATTACCAAAAAGACAAATTTAGAGACAGTACGTGTATTTTGTAGTCAAATCCTCATTTCTAGCACTTATTAGCTGAATGAAATTGAGTACATCTCATTTTTCTGAACCTCAGGTTTCTCATCTGTAAAATGGGACTACTGGTTTTCTTCAACAGTTAATATATGGCACAAAAATTAAATGAGATATGTAAAACATTTAGCATCTGGTGAGACCTCAAAAGGTCCCTAGGTGATGAAAACAGTTTGTGCTTGACTGCTAACCTGTTAGTGGTTTGAATCCACCCAGCAGTATCATGGAAGAAAACGCCTGGTGATTTGCTTTTGTTAAGATTTCAGCCAGTAAAACTCTATGGAGCAGTTCCACTTTGTAACACATTGGGTCACCATCAGTTGGTATTGACTTGATGGCAGCTAACAACAAAAACAAAGACCTCCAAAAACTGGAGTTTTCAATAATAATAATAAAAATGGGTATCTGGGTGATACAATTGTGCTCAAACTGGTCAGTATATGCTTATTATCTCAGTGTAATAAGTGACTCTTAGAAAATCCTAGTTTAATTAAAATTTCAGAGTTGGTAGGTGTGAGGTGTGGAACCCCTTTGTAGTAAACAGTTTGGCCTTTTGTCCTGGTTCCTGAGAGCATGACCACACCTGAAGCCAATGAGTGGGGGGGGTCTACTCAACCAAGAGGGAGCACCTTGGGGGCCTGATGCTGCCTAAGCCTCAGGAGGCACGAGGTAATCTATCATGGCTGCTTGGTGAGGCCAGTAAAGGCTTTGGAAGATGGAGGCTCAAGGGAGGTTTCTGGGTGGGGAGATGGAACATCTGCTCTCACAAACATGGAACATCCCCTAGGAACTTGGAAGCTTTGCTGTGAGACCTCTGCTGGGGTTTATGAGTCTTGCAACAGAGTATAAGACCTAAGAAACAGAGAAGGGGCTGGTGCCTGCTGACCTAGCCCTGGGTGAATGGGGATGAAGGAGCAGCTGGGGTCTGAACTGACCAGGGAAGGAAAGCTGAGATTTCTCTGGACTGGTTTGGCACAAATTGATGTCAGTAGAACATGAGATTTGCTAGAGAAAACAAACCCTGATGATGCAGTGGGTCCTTAGGATTCATCTTTATTCCTTTCTTTCTCCCTCCTTTCCCCTCTTTCTCTCCCCTTCCTTCCCTCCCTTTCTTCCTCCCTTGTTTAGCAGAAAAGGAACCTAAGATATAGTTAGTATTGCTCGATGGAGAATTGCAACTACAACTTAAGTTTCCTGATTTCCAGGCCAATACTTGCTTATACCATTGACCTTTTCAAAGATGATTTGTTAAATATGTGTGAATTTGAAAAACAAATGCTTTACTCAGCAACCATTACTCAGCATGTATGGTTAAAAGCTTGGCTGCTAACAAAAAGCAGTTCGACTTTACCAGCCACTCCTTGGAAATCCTGTGGGGCAGTTCTCCTGTGTCCTATAGGGTCGCTATGAGTCCGAATTGACTCGATGGCAACAGGTTTGGTTTTTTTTAAAAAAAAAATCAATAAAACAGATATTTTTGAGTTATTGAATCAAAATTTTCTTTAAAAAACATTTATGCCACAAAATTATATCTTTAGATTTTAAAATACAGCTTTATGATAGGTCTACAGCTTGCTACCCAATGTTGTAGGTAGGATTCGGTTTCTTTCCCAGCGGTTGTCCTTTGTAACTGTCGACATCGTGAAGCCTGCTGTAGGTAATGCCACTTGCTTCAAGGAAACTTTTTGATCTCTACGTTCAATGAATGAAGCAGGTATTACAATTTGTTTTGATTGGAAGTTATTTTGTATACTGACTTTGTAGTTAAGTCCTTAATTTTTTTTTTTTTAACCTCAGCCAAGAGTTAGGTTTTGATGTGTGGCATCTTGTTTCGCTTATGATCTTGTGGATCAGGTTTATAATAATGATTACTTCTTGCAAATGCTTACCTTTTCCATTAATAGTACTGTTTTAAGACATGATGGTGGTACACATAATAATATGCATAATCATCCCAAACTCATTCCCCGTAATGTCAGTTTCTGTATGCAGACATAGTCTACATTTTTAAAAAAACAATATTAAACAGTACTGTTATGACACGGAAACCCTGGTGGCATAGTGGTTAAGAGCTATGGCTGCTAACTAAAAGGTCAGCAGTTTGAATCCACCAGCTACTCCTTGGAAACCCTATGGGGTGGTTCCACTCTGTCCTATGAGTCGGAATTGACTGGAAGGCAGCGGGCTTGGGCTTGTTACGACACTGTCTTTTTTAATCTCTTTACTAATGGGTATTTATATATTTGGAGCCCTTGCTATATCCTTACTACTACAAATTGAAAGGGTAGGTGGCACTCAAAAAGCTTTTATTTCTTTATTTGCTTGTATTGCAAAGTCGTATAATATAGTATTAACTCCCAAACTCTGGACATTCCCTAGTTTGAATACTGTGGATTTGCTTTGCTCAGCAACTGGAAAACACTTTACAACCTACCAGCTCAGTTTCAGCTGAGTAATGGAAAACAAGGAAATGTGTGCCAAAGTATTCTTTTGTATTCTGATTCACTAGTTTCAAATGGGAAACAAGATGGAAAGCTACTACATGCTAGTAATAGAGTCCCAATTAAAATGACTAGTATAAACATAAAATAAAGCAATGTATACTAGATTGCTTTTTTGATTCTTATTTTAAATATTCCCTTCCACATAAAAATATTCAAAGAATATTTCTTCGAAATATGTGTGTGTGTGTGTATATATATATATATATAAATTTTTTTTGCTTCTTGTATTTACAACTTTTTTTTGCTTCCTTTTATTTGAGAGTTGTATTGCCAACAATTACAGACAGGATTAGTTTTGTTTAGAAGGTTGTTAATAACTCTGTTGAAATACTAGTAAACAGATAACATTACAAAAGTAGGTAGTTAATTTGGAGTATTACCTGGCTTATCTCCAAATTTCAGGAAAAAGTAACTGTTTTGTACTTAATTATCATAGCTAATTTTGAGACATTGTTTATAATTTTATGATTTTAACATTTGAATTATACTGTATTTTTCACAAATAATTCACACATGTTAATAATGAGCACACAAATATCACGTGCACAACACACCTAGGGAAATAATGCGTAAGGAGGTGGTGCAGTTGGCAAAAAAACGTATAACACAGGTGTTATTTACATAAAAATATGAAATATATCCAAAGACATTTAAAAATAGGCCAAAGAATTTTTTTTGGACCTAAAAGGGAGTTATTAACCCTATTTTAGTTAGGGAAACAGTCATTTAAATTTATGATTTATTTAAGATCATGTGGTTAAAATCATATTGTTTCTGAACGAGCAGGTGCAAAGTCAGGTGTGGTTTTACTTTTGACTTTTTCTTGATAGACATCACAGTTACATGCAAGTTTCAGAAGATTTTAGTTATATCTTTAGTATGGAAATTTATAGAATTTATATAAAAATAATTATGTTGCAGATAACTAGGGTACAAAGATAAATAAGGTCTAATTTTTTTTACCTCAACTTATAATCTAATCAGATAGGTATGTAATATATTTACTATGATACATTTTAGAAGAATGAATAGACAAAGTACAGTAGGTAACAGTGGAGAAGGAAAGTAAAAAAGGAATAATAATTATTATTTTTTATTATCAACTATTTATTAGGAGTTAGAGAATTTTGTGTCAACTATTTCATTTAACTTTACCTCTTGAGACACAAGGGTATTCTCAAGAAAGTAGCAAGAGCTAGGTCTTAGTGTTGAAAGATGAATAGAAATTTGGAGAGGAGCAATAAGGAGAACGAGGGAACTCCAGACAGAGCACCTAAATATATAAATATATGGTGAAACAAAATCACATTAATTCAACAACTTTTATTGAACATCCACTGTGTACTAGATAACTTTTATTGTACATCCACAGTGCTAGATATTAGAGATACACCTGAATGATAGAGCTTGAATTTAATAGTCTGGTTAAGAATATAGACAGATAACAGGTAATTGCAACTAGTGCAATAAGTACCACTTTGGAGAAGGATAGAGGTGCTTTGTGAGCACATAAGGATACTTAACCAGAATTTGGGCAGTTCTGCCTGAGTGTGAGGTGGAAAGAGGTGTTGGGGCTAGTTAGATTGTAGAGTGTAGCTCAGATGCATGGGTAAACCCATCACTTTCTAGACTCATGACCTTGGGAAAGTTAACCTAATTTCTCTAAGCTTCATGTATAAAACAGAGATGATAATAATAGCTAACATTTACTGAACACTTACTATGTACCAGGCATTGTGCTAAGTGCTCTATATAGACTATCTTATTTAGACTTCACATCAAACCTGTGGAATATTTGCTATTGTTAACTGTACAGTTACATAACTAGATAGTGGAGCCATGAGATAAACTCAGGTAGGCTGACCTGAGACCTGAGCTCTAGCTACTAATAGTACCTAATTAATAGAATTGCTGTGAATATTACATAATATAAATGTAAAGGTAAATGGTTTATTATGCATGACACATGGATGCTGGCTCCTGTTTCTATTATTAATAATTCTGGAGATGATGGTGAATGGAAGTTTTTTAAGCAGGAGTATGTATTGTTGTTATTAGTTGCAGTTGAGTTGGCTCTGACTCATGGTGGCCCCATGTACAATGGAATGAAACATTGCCCAGTCCTGTGCCATCTTCATGATCATTGGCATGCTTGAGTCCATTGTTGCTGCCACTGTGTATTTTGAATGCCTTCCAACATAAGGAGCTCATCTTCTAGCACTGTATTCAAGAATGTTCTGTTGTGATCCATAGGGTTTTCATTGGCTCATTTTTGGAAGTAGATCACCAGGTCTTTCTTCCTAGTCTGTGTTAGCCTGGAAGCTGTTCCACTACTTGGTTTTGAATTAGCAGGTGCAAAATCAGGTGTGGTTTTACTTTTGACTCTGTCTTGGTAGGCATCACAATTTGGAAAATTGTACTGGTATTTGAAATATCGGTGGTATAGCTACCAGCATTGTAGCAACATGCAAGCTACACAGGTATGGCAAACTGACAGACAATTGGTAGGGAGTATGTATAGAGGGCGCCAAATAATAACAAATCCAAATTTAGATAAGGAGAAATTATTCAAAAGGACTAATGCAATAGGGAGAATACTCTGATCTCAGAAATCTGCAAGCAGCTCAAAACAGAAAAAGGTTTGTCTTCTTTGTTGTTGTTAGCTCCTTTTAAGTTGGCCCACGACTCATGGTGATCCTATGCACAAAAAAATGAAATACTGCTTGTTCCTGCACCATCCCCATGATCAGTTGCAGATCCGACTGTTGTGAACCATAGAGTTTCTGGCTGATTTTTGGAAGTAGCTTGCCAAGTCTTCGTTTCTAGTTTGTCTTAGTCTGGAAGCTCCATTGAAACCTGTTCAGCAGAATAGCAAGATGCCAGCCTCCACTGACAGGTGGTAGCCGTGCATGAGTTGCATTGGCCAGAAATTGAACCCAGGTCTCTCACATGGGAAGGCGAGAATTCTATCATTTAACCACCACTGCCTCATTTTATTCTTTAGAGAAGGGTAAGAAGAACTAGCAGGAACTTTGTGGGGGAGGGGGACATGAGGTAGAAAAATCAGGGTGAGTCAACAGGAAGCGTTCTCTTTGTGGTCACTCAACTCTCATGGTTTACAGAGAAAAGAAACTGTATTCATCCATATATTCAGAATGCTTGTTTTGCACCTACTTTGAATCCAGTCCAGGTTCTTTGTTACTTGCAGGAGACACAAAGGTGATTAAAGATACTGGCCCTTTCTTTAAGGAGAATCTTTTCTTCACTTTTGTCTACAGTGAATGATGGTGTTCTCTAAATGTCATTATGTGGATATGGTCACACTGTCCCAGGAACATAGAGGAAGGCATTTAAATCAGACTGGGTGATCAGGGGGATGAACTAAGAACTATTGTGGAACTGAGAGAGTAGTGGTGGGAATGAAGAAAATAGATTTGAGAGATATTTTGGAAGTAGAATGGACAGGATTTAGAGACTGATTTTGGGATGGGAGGTTCTAATTTAGACCATCGAATTGAAGGAGGCTTTAACCAAGGCTGGTACAAGGGAGTTGATGATGGCTTTAAGGAATATGCAAGGAAGGAAGCCTGTGGGGTCAAAGTAAGGAATTTAATTTTGGACATGTTGGATTTAAGGTGCCTTTAATATTATATGGAGCCCTGGTGGCACAGCGATTAAGAGCTCAGCTACTAACCAAAAGGTTGGCAGTTCGAATCCACCAGCTGCTCCTTGGAAACCCTATGGGGCAGTTCTCCTCTATCCTATAGGGTCGCTGTGAGTCAGAATCAGCTCGACAGCAGCAGGTTTGGTGATATTATATAAATTAAAATATCTTCAGGCAGTTAAAAAATAGAATGGGAATTTGAAAGAGAGGTGGATACTGGAGATACAAATTAGGGCATATTTATCATATAGATAGGTGGTTATAGCTTGAGAATAGATGAGGTTAGCTAGAGGGGCAAAAGTCTTATTTGGCAGAATCCTTACATTTAATTGGAGAACAGTGGCAGAGGAATCAGCTAAGGAAGTTAGTAATCAGAGAAATAGGAAACAAAGAACAGAATAAGGAACTTTAAGGAAATAAAATGTTTTAAAGAGGAAATGACCAACAGTTATAACTTTTATAAACAGGTCTAGAGTTATGCTAGGAGCCCTGGTTCTCGGCTGCTAACTGAAAGGTCAGTGGTTCGAATCCACCAGCTGCTCTGTGAGAGAAAGATGTTGCAGTCAGCTTCTGTAAAGATTTACAGCCTTGGAAACCCTATGGGGCAGTTCTACACTGTCCTGTAGGGTTGCTTCGAGTCAGAATCAACTCGATGGCATAGGTTTGGTTTTATTTTGGTAAGGTTATTGTAAAAGATTATTGTAAGTTTATTTTAAATGCTTCTTTTGTGTTTGTGTTTTCTACCTTAGCTTACAAAATAGGTATCCTCAAGCGAGTGTTGTGCTTATTTTTATGTATGTAAAATGTCTTGGTTATTTTGCCCAAAAAATAAAAATGTATATTTTCTCTCTTAAAGTATGGAACCTCAAGGTCTTTGTGATAATGGAAACCAAAAAATTAATTGGTAAACCGCTTCAACCAGCAAGACCTGTTCGTCATCTGACTTCTCCTCCTGGTGAGTAATCTAGGGTACATATCTTTACGTATTAATTTGTTTGTGGCTAGTTAGTATTTTGATCTATTTCCAAAAATTGGCCATTGAAAACTATGTGCTATGTGCTATGGAGCACACGTAGTTCTACCCTGACAACCATGGGGTTGCCATGAGTTGGAATCGACTTGACAACAGCTGGTTTGGTTTTGGAATTGGTATTTGAAAGGCTGAATAACTCATGAAGTAATTATTTTGGTGGATATTTAAAGAAATAATGAAAACTAATGATCTTCTCTGAAGAATTTAAAAATATTACCAAAAGGAAAGGTTTCTTAATAATCTACCAGACCAACAGAGTTAGGAAGATGCAGTCTTTGAGGAAAAGTAACTTTATAGTTTTCATGTCTTATTTTGATAGTTAACTGGTTCTTGCTCAGAGTAATACCTCTAATGCAAATTGTGCCCTATGATTATGATCGCTATAGAAGAACCATGCTGCAGAGAGAATTCGCCTTTAAAAAAACATACCTAAATGGAGTAATAAAAAAACAAAACAAAACATGATTAGCACAGAACAACAGTTGGTGATTCTATATGGTTGTGATATTACAGTTTTATTCTGGTAGAGGTTAAGACTGTACTTGAGCTAGAACATACAGTCTAACTTCTGGAAATCTAAACAACAATAATAGATAAATTCTGAAATTAAATGGTTAATTTAGCCCATAAAACTATTTTGAACACCTTTTTGGAATAATTCATATTTAACTCATAAATTAGAATATTAACTTTTTAATTCTATTTATTACTTGTTGCTTTGATGATATACATATAACCTGTTAAATTCTCTTTAGTCTATGTGTTCACTTCAATTAAGAGCTCTTACACTTGCTAATTATACAAGGAAAGAAAAAGCCCTTTTATAAGATGCAAAGATGAAGCAGACAAGATAGAAATGGCACTAATTCCTGAATCTTCCATTCTCCCATGCTTGGTTTCTAGTTTTGTCATGATTCCTCTGAAGCTGGATGTAACTCAGGACAGACAAGTGAAATTAATGGCTCCCCCTGAACCATAGCTTAGCAACACTGATCCCATATCCCTTGGTGCACTGGAGAAGTTGTGTTGTGTCAAGTCTCAGATTTTATCCTAAAGGAAAGATATAAAGTCATTGGCAGCAGCTTCATTCTGTGACCACCCTTTTATAGTGCCCTTCCCTCCCTTCTGTGCAGATCCAATTTTTCACTGATCACTTTATTCCAGGGCTATTCCATGGGCAAATGGGGCGGACAGGTAGCTCTGCTCCCATTTGCTTATATCCTGCTAAGATCCAGACAGAGGAATAGCATTTTTTTTTTTAAGGCATAGAAGTTTAGTATATCAGAACATCAATTTTGATTAGTTTTGGCCTTTCTCAAGCTTCCCTCCCAATGACCACCCCCCCACCAAAGAAGAAAACCATTGCTATTGAGTCAGTTCGGACTCATAGTGACCCCATAGGGTTTCCAAGGCTGTAAATCTCTACGGAAGCCGACTGCCACATCTTTTTCCCCTCGGAGCCACTGGTGGTTTCGAACTGCTGACCTTTTGGTTAACAGTTGATTGCTTTAACCACTGCATCACCAGGGCTCCTCCCCCCTATACCCTTGCTCAATTCAGGTTCCCAAAGGAATCTTCTGATTTTTTTTCTTCAAGACTGAGATTGGATTATTTCCTCTTATGGAGCCTGCTTTGATACGCCAAAACCTGCTGTGCTCTCCCCTAGTATCTTGTCTATATCTCTTATACACACATATGCCCATCTCTCACTTACACATCAAATTTGATCATAATAATTTATGAGCTTGTCTTTTAAAATAGACTATGAAATGCAGAACAGAATTTGAAATTTTCATGGAATCCAGACTTTCTGGATTATGGAGGCTGGATAAATTCTCGAAACTATTGCCCTGAGATAATCTTTAAACCTTAAACCAAAAACATCCCCTGAAGTCTTCTTAAAACCAAACAGTAGTTTAGGTTAACTGCTGTTGTTGTTGTTAGGTGCTGTCAAGTCGAGTCTGACTCTTAGTGACTCTGTGTACAACAGAAGGAAACACTGCCCGGTCCTGCACCATCCTCACATTCCCTCTTACGGTTGAGCCCGTTGCTGCACCCACTGTTTGTCAACCCATCTTGTTGAGAGTCTTCCTCTTTTTCACTGACCCTCTACCTGACCAAGCATGATGTCCTTCTCCAGGGACTGATCCCTCCTGATAACATGTCCAAAGTATGTGAGACGTAGTCTTGCCATCCTTGCTTCTAAGGAGCATTCTGGTTGTACTTCTTCCAAGACATTAACTTAACTAGTAAAGAATACCTGCCTTGCACATTATTCTCTTTTAAGATCTAGATATATGGGATTAAATTGACAACAGCAACTTGAAAGATTAGATAAGAACTGTAGGGAGCTGTGAGTTTATGTTAACAGCAGAGGAACAACTCAGAAAAGGAGGGTGAGAATGATTGTACAACTCGAAGAATGTAATCAGTGTCACTGAATTGTACACGTGGAAGCTGTTGAATTGGTGTATGTTCTGCTGTGTATATTCTCAACAACAACAGAAATAAAATTATAGAGAAAATAGACTATGAACTCTTTTTATCTCTGAACTGTCTTTTCATGCTTGTATACCCATCCCCTGACATGGTGGCCTACATTTAATAGGGCTGAATAAATGTATGTTGAATATTAGAACTATCAGAAAATTTCAAAATAGTACCTAGAATATTCTGGACACTTAAGTTTTATAGTTGATACCATATCATTTACTGAAGGCATGGATATCTAAAATCGTTGTCTTTTTTCTGTTCTTGTAGGAGTAGTGTTTCCTTTCAACTTTCAAAATGAATATCCATGCAACACTCAGTGCTTACAAAGTGGAGTTGGCAGAGTAAGTCTTAGAAATTATAATAAAATAAAGCATTTATTTACAGACTGGAAAGTAACATTTGTTAGGTGGCTATTGTGTACCAGGCAGTATGCTAAGTGCTTTATATACCTTTTTAAAAATATGACATATTTAAAGAGAACATTTATGTGCCTATCACACAAGATTTTCAAATCTAAACATTTTTTCATATTTGTTTTAAAAAATTTAAAGAAAAAAATGTAACAAATATTGTTAAAAATCCCTTGTATATCCCTGTATAATCCCTTTTCCTTCCCAGCTGTCCCAGAAAAAACTATCCTCAATTTGTTATTTTTCCCTGAATGTATTTGAACTTTAGCTACAATAAATTGAAATTGTTTAACTGTTTTATAATTTTTTATAAATAGTATTATACCTACATAGGTTTCTGCAATTTTTTCCCTTTCTCATCATTTATAATTTTAAATTTTTTGACTAAGTAAAATAGTTACAAAGTTTGAAATAAAAAATTTACAAAATGGTATCTAGAGCAAACTTTCTCTCCAATCTCTGACCCCCAGTCACCCATTTCTTCTCACCAAAAGTAACCATTGTATCTTGATACTTCCAGAGACTATGCATGAACAACCATAAGTATATTCATAAATTAAATACTAGACAACTGTTAAAATGAATAAAGTAGTTCTATATGTAATGACACAGAAAAATCATATGTATATCCGTATATTCATACATATGAATATATTCACATAAACATATTCATACACATGTATGAATATCCATAAATATATAAGTGTATGAATATATGTATGAATATACCAGTTTTGGTCTATTTTCTGTTGATGGACGTTTGTTTCTATTTTACAAAAGATGCTGCAGTGAACATCCATCTATATTTCCTTTTATACATATTTGAAAGATTCTCTGGGTATAAATCTGTTGTGAAAATGCTATGTTAAAGGGTGTTATTATCTTCAATTTTATTATTCTCTGAAGTGCTTTGTATGAACAGTGAGTTCATAAAGACTCTGATTTTTCCACATTCTTACCTTGTTGTTGTCAGACTTTAACATTTTTTTCTTGTCCAGTAAGTGAGAACACATATCTTTTTATTGTTTTTAATTCTCAGTTTTTCTTGTGAAGTGGAGCAGCATTTCATGTCTTTAACTTGCCCATTGGATTTCCTCTTTCGTGAATTGCCAGTTCACATCCTTGTGCATTTTTTTAGGAGTTGTATTCTTCTTGACTTGTATGACTTTGAGAATATAGTCTGGATTCCAATTATTGCTCTTTCTGTTGTTTAAAAGTTCATTATATATTCTGGATATCAAGCCCGTAACAGAGGTGTGTTTCCCCCAAATTTTCTCCCAATCTGTAAGTTGTCTCTTCACTTTGTTATAAAGTCCTTTGATTTAAAAAAGTTGTTTTTTTTTTTTAAATTTTTGGTGCGGTCCCATTTATCTATTTTGTCTTTTGTTACTCATGCTTTTGGTGTCATATCCAAGAATCTATTGTTGAAAACTAGATTCTAAGGCATTACCCCTTTTGTTTTCTTCTAAGAGTTCTATGGTTTTAGATCTTATCCTTTGATCTTTGAGCCATTTTGAGTTAGTTTTTGTATATGGTAGAAGGTATGGGGCCATGTTCCTTCTTCTGTTTGTGGAAATCCAGTTGTCCTAGAACCATTTATTAAAGAGACTATTCTTTCCCTATTGGGTGGATTTAACACTCTTGTTGAAGATCAATTGATCATAGATATATGGTTTTATTTCTGGACTCTAAATTCTGTTCCATTGGTCTGTATGTCTTGATTATACCAGTACCACACTGCTTTGATTACTGTAGGCTTATGGTATGTTTTGAGATTGGGAAGTGTGAGTCTTCCTACTTTGTTCTTCATTTTTAAGGTTACTTTGGCTATTTGGGGTGCCTTTCAGTTCCATATAAATTTGAGGATTGGCTTTTCCATCTCTGCAGAGAAGGCTGTTGGAATTTTGATGAGTATTGCATTGAATCTATAGATTTCTTTAGGTAGTGTTGATACCTTAACAATATTAAGCCTTTTGATCCATGAGCATGGAATGTCCTTCTATTTAGTTAGATCTTTAATTTCTTTCAGCAGTATTTTACAGTTTTCAGTGACGTCTTTCACCTTCCTGGTTACATTGATTCCTAGGTAGATTATTCTTTTAGATGTTATTATAAATGGAATTGTTGCCTTAATTTCCTTTTCAGATTGTTCACTGCTAATGTATAAAAACCTGACTGTTTTTTATATGTTGACCTTGTATCATGCTACTTTTCTGAATTCATTTATTAGCTCTAATAGTTTTCTTGTGGACTCTTTGGGATCCTCTTTGTATAGGATTATGTTATCTGTTAAAAAGGATAGTTTTATTCCTCCCTTCCCAATTTGGATATCTTTTATTTATTTTTCTTGCCTAATTTTCTGGCTAGAACTTACAGTACTATATTGAAAAGCTATGATGAGAGTGGGCATCCTTGTACTGTTCCTGATCTTAAGGGGGAAATTCTCATTTTTTCCTTATTGAGTGTTAAGTTAGCTGTGGGTTTTTCATAAATGCTGTTTATCAGATTGATTAATTTCCCTTCATTCCTAGCTTGTTGAGTGTTTTTTATCACGAAAGGGTATTGGATTTTATCAAAACCCTTTACTCTGTTGACTGAGATAATCATGTGGTTCTTTTCCTTTGTTCTATTAATGTGGTGTATTATATTGATTTGCTAATGTTGAACCATCCTTGCATTCCTGGGATAAATCCAACTTGATCATAATGTATAATCCTTTTACTATGCTTTTGAATTTGGTTTGCTAGTATTTTGTTGAGGATAGGCCAGAGACAGGCACCTTGCTTCAGTCTCTCAGCCCTTTGACTTAGGATAGACACACATAACAATTTGCAGATAAAGCCTTCTCTTCTCTCTCTAGAGCTAGGGACCAGGATCCTGGGACTACAGGCTATCCCAGCTGTAAGATGATCTCTGAGCCTGGGGGTAAGCTGGAGGGTAGGGCATAGACTTATAAAAAACCAAGCTATCCTTCCATTCACAAGTCACATTTTTCTTGATTCAGCATTTGCTTAGTTGTTGTAATCCTTTGACTAGTTTCCATAGTTCTGACAAACTTGGTTTTACCAGTTTCTTGTTTTCTTTGGTGTTTCTGTGGTGGGGGATGGGAGTGTGGAACTGCTTAAGCCATCATCTTGTCCCTCCTCTGTGTTATGTAAAATTTTAAACTTGAGTTAAAAAGTATATTTTCTTTTTGTTCAACAGTGTAAGACAAATGGAATGCAAGCCTTTCCTCAAGGTCTTAATGAAAAGCAGCAACATCAGTCTCCAGTTAAAAAAGGTAAACTTTTATCATAATCCCCAAATTTCATTAGAGAATGTCTTAGCATTCGTGTAAACATTAATATTACTTTGCTGCTTGGTTGAAAACCTTATGTATGTAAGAAATTTTATGATATTCTTTTAGGTTGATTTCTGCCTATACTAGTCAGGCTACAGGTTTGATTACTCTAAGGCAAAGACCAGAGTAATAATGACTTAAACAAGATAGAAGTTTTTATTGTGTGTGTGTTGACCTTTTATGCTGCCACTTTCCTGAATTAAGTGGTAAAATTAAATTCTAATTAAAAATTAAATTCAAAATTCTAATTGCTTTCTTATGGAATCTTTGAAGTTTTCTATGTATAGGATCATGTCATCTGCGAAAAGGGATAGTTTTACTTCTTGCTTCCCAATTTGGATACTTTTTATTTATTTAATTTTTTTCTAGCCTAACTGATTTGGCTAGGACTTCCAGAACAATGTGGAATAGTGATGGTGAGAGTTATTCCTGATCTTTTTTTTTTCCTAATAATGTTCCAGGCAGCCACTGCCAATTGGTCAGGGTTGACACAACAAATGAAACCAATTTGTCTAGTCTCCATCCTCCATAAAATGAAGATATGGCAATACAGGAAAAGGGAACCATGTTTTTGGATCTACATGGCTTTAAGACTTGTGAAATCATAGAATCTCAGAGAAGGAAGGGACCATAAAATTCAAGCACTCCCACCCCTAACCCTCTCTGGAAGTGTCTTCTATTATGCCCTGGCACATACTCATGTGGGCTCTCTTTGGTATTCAAAGCTCATTATATTATTAGATTTTAATTTTTAGACATTTTTACTTTTATTGACCTGCCTCATTATAACTTCTCCCTAAAAGTCACTGTTCTGTTACCTGGAGAAACAGGGATAAGACTCCTTTCCACATGACAGCTTTCTAAGAATTTAAAACATTTTAGTGCCTTCCCTAGGTCTTCTCGTCTTCAGCCTAAGTGTCCTCATTTCTTTCAACAATTTTTCACCTATACTTCTTTTTTTTTTAATTGTGCTTTAGGTGAAAGTTTACAGCTCAAGTTAATTTCTCATACAAAAAATTTATACAGATATTGTTATGTGGCATTAGTTGCAATCCCTACAATGTTATAACACACTCCCTCTTTCCACCTCGGGTTTCTTGCGATCATTCAACCAGTTCCTGTCCCTTCCTGCCTTCTCATCCTGCCTCTGGACAGGAGCCGCTCATTTGGTCTCGTTTATCTGGTTGAACTAAGAAGCACACTCCTCACGAGTATTATTTTTTGTTTTATAGTCCATATAGTCTCAAGAGTGGCTTCGGGAATGGTTTTGGTTCTGGGTTAACAGCATCCGGGGGCCATAGTTTGGAGGTTCCTCCAGTCTCTGTCAGACCATTAAGTCTGGTCTTTTTGCATGAATTTGACTTCTGCTCCTCACCTTTCTCCCACTCCATCCGGGACCCTCTGTTGTGTTCCCTGTTGGGGTGATCACTGGTGGTAGCTGGCCACCATCTAGCTCTTCTGCTCTCAGGCTGATGGAGTCTCTGGTTTATGTGGACCTTTTTTCTCTTGGGCTAATATTTTCCTTGTGTCTTTGGTATTCTTCATTCTCTTTTGCTCCAAGTGAGTTGGGACCAGTTGATGCATTTTAGATGGCTGCTTGCAAGCTTTTAATACCCCAGATGCCACTCAACAAAGTGGGATACAGAACATTTTCTTAATAAACCTTGTTAGGACAATTGACCTAGATATCCCTCAAAACTATGGTCCCCAGGCCCTAGCCACTGTGCCCCTCAAAGTGTTTGGATGTGTTCAGAAAACTTCTTAGCTTTAGCTTTGGTCCACTTACGCTGACTTCCTCTGTATTGTGTATTGTCCTTCCCTTCATTGAAGATGATCCTTGTCTACTATCTAGCTAGTGAATTCTCCTCTCCCTCCCTCCCCACCCTCATAATCATCAAAGAATGCTTTTCTTGAGTTCTTATGATAGTGGTCTCATACAATATTTGTCCTTTTGCGACTGACTAATTTCACTCAGCATAACGTCCGCGATTCATCTATGTTGTGAGATGTTTCACGAATTCATCATTGGTTTTTGTCATTGCATAGTATTCCATTGTGTGTACCTACTATAATTTTTTTATCCATTTGTCTGCTGATGGGCACCTAGGTTATTTCCATCTTTTTGCTATTGTGAACAGTGCTGCAATGAATGTGGGTGTGTATATATCTATTCGTGTGACGGCTCTTATTTTTCTAGGATATATTCCAAGGGGTGGTATTGCTGGATCGTATGGTACTTTTATTTCTAGTTTTTTAAGGAAGTGCCAAATCGAGTTCCAAAGTGCTTTACCATTTTACACGCCCATCAGCAGTGCATAAGTGTTCAAGTTATTCCTGATCTTAATGAGAAACCTCTCAGTCTTTCTCCACTGAGTATAATGTTAGCTGTGGGTTTTTCATAAATGCCCTTTATTTTATTCATGAAGTTCCCTTCTGTTCCTAGCTTGTTGAATGTTTTTACAAAGAATGTTGAATTTTGTCAAATGTCTTTTGCATTGATTATTTGTGTGTTCTTTTCCTTTGTTCTAGTAATGTGTTGTATAACATTGATTTTCTGATGTTGAAACCACCCTCGCAATCCTGGGATAAATCCCACTTGATCATGGTGTATAATCCTTTTTGTATGTTTTGGATTCGGTTTGCTAGTATTTTGTTATTTTTGTGCCTATATTTGTTAGAGATATTGGTCTGTAGTTTTCTTGTGGTGTCTTTGTCTTGTTTTGGTTTAAGGGTAATGTTGGCCTCATAGAATGATTTGGGTAGTGTTTCCTCCTTTTCTATTTTTTAGGAAAGTTTGAATAGGATTAGAGTCATTTCTTCTATAAATGTTTGATAGAATTCCCCAGTGAAGCTATCTAGTCCAGGGCTTTTCGTTGTTGGGAGGTTTCTGATTACTGATTCAATCCCTTCACTTGTTTGTTATGTGTCTGTTGATATCCACTATGTCTTCTCGAGTCAATATAGTTTATATATTTTAAGAAATTTGTCCATTTCCTCTAAGTTGTCTAATTTTTCATGTACAACTGTTCATAGTATTGCCTTACAATTCTTTTTATTTCTGTTGTGCAAACATCACTAGTAACTAATTCCAGAACATTCTCATCACCTCATAAAGAAACTCTGTACCCATAAAGCAGTCACTCCCCATTCCCTCCTCCAGCTAGCCCTTGGAAATCACTGCTCTGCTTTCTCTCTCTGTGGATTTGCTTATTTTGGACATTTGATATAAATTGAATCATACAGTATGTGGACTTTTGTATCTGGCTTCTTTTATTTAGCGTAATATTTTTGAGGTCCATCCACTTTGTAGCATGTATCAATACTTAATTCCTTTTTATGGATGAATAGTATTCCATTGTATGGACATACTACAGTTTGTTTATCCATTCATCAACTGATGGACAGTTGGGTTGTTCCCACTGTCTGTCTATAATGAATGGTTATGGTGAAACCTTTCAACCGCATGTAGGTCCTCCTCCCTCCACCTGCACTGACCTTTTTGCTTTAGTTGTTAATGCATTATATCTCCATACCTTGAAAACCCCACCAGACAGTGTTAGAATTTTTGCTTTAAACCGTTATGCATATTTTTATAAAACTTAGAGGAAAAGGAGTAGTCTGTTATATTTACCCAGCTATTTACCATTTCTGTTGCTCTTCCTTTATTCCTGAAGATTAGTTTAAATTATCATTTCCCTTCAGTGTGAAGAAATTCCATTAGCATTTCTTCGAGAGCTAGTCTTTTGCTACAAATTCTCTTATTTCTCTTTCATCTGAAAAGGTCTTTGCTTAGTGTTCATTCCTAAAGGATATTTTCACTGATACGAAATTGAGTTGCAGATTCTTTCCTTTTAGCACTTTAAGGATATTGTTCCATTGTCTTCTAGCCCAGCACATGGTCTATCTTGGTGATAGTTTCTGGTGATGGTTTCTGATGAAAAATCTGCAGATATTTGAATCATTGTTCCTCTTGAAGATAGCAGCTCTATCTTGGGTCTTGTTCATCAGTACCTAGCATAGTATACTGGGCACACAATAAACGTTTCTTGAATTGAATTCATTTTAATTTGATTGTATTAAATGTTTAATAACAATATAAAAACAAATAGGCTCCTTAAAGTTCCATTTTGGTAGGATCTGAATTGCCCAATAGATGTTACTGTTTTTATGTTCTGGTATATACAATACCAGATGACTTTACTAGACTTGTATAACCAGATGAAAGAAGCCATGCAGTACCCATTTTCTTCAACAGCTGTCGTTCTTCCAATTTTCCAAAGCTCCCCCTCCCCATTCTTTTGCATGGGCAGTACTCATTATTTTATGAAACAATGGACAGTTAAGGTACATTCAGAAAGAAGTGAGCCAAAAAGTGATGTAGGAGAGTAGTATGTTTTATAACATTACAATTGATGTTTAATATCTACAGAGAGAATTAAATACAGCAGAGATTTCCTGTTGAAGCTTTCAAGTGTTTCCATCTGCAGAAAAAAACCAGACTTTCTGCCTGATCATCCCATTGTACTTCAAAAACCAGTAAGGAGTTTCTAATTTTATATTACTGTAAATCCAAAATATTTGTCTTTAACATTTTCATTTGATTCTATTTTAGAATTTTTAACTGTTCTCACTGTAATATATAATTCAGAATAGTAAAATAAGTCATCCTATATGTTCTTCAAAGTCTTTTTGCTATTTTCAGCCCTTGATATTTCTGGGTCAGCTCATAAAATTCCACCAAATAAATACAATAAATAAATCCATAAATCTTTTAGGATATTGGAAAGGACATGGGTTTTGGTATCAGATGGGTTCAAATTGGAGCTCCACTCTATGTACTGATAGTTCAAACTTGGACAAGTCACTCACCCTCCTTTAGCCTCAGTTTTTGCAGTTGCAGATAAGAGTGGTAAACTCTTTCTCATAGACTTGGTTGCTAGGAGTTAATGAAATAATGTATGAAAATGCTTCGTATGGTACCTATCTCATATTATGTGCTAAGTAAATGTTAATTTCCACCTTTTAGGAGCCCTGGTGGTACAGTGGTTAAGAGCTTGGCTGCTAACCAAAAGGTCGGCAGTTCAAATCCACCAGCCGTTCCTTGGAAACCCTATGGGGCAGTTCTACTCTGTCCTACAGGGTCGCTATGAGTTGGAATTGACTCAATGGCAACAGGTTTGGTTTTGGTATGGTTTCTATTTCCATTTTGACCAGAATTTGATTTGTATTTAGAGTTTTCATACACTATTTTATATAGGTAAAAGCAAGTGGGATGGTACAAGACTCAGTGATTACAGATATGCTGAAAATGACTCAAATGTAAAATATAGATTATGTCCTGTGTTTTGGGGATTCTAACCCTTTTGGAGTCCATAGCTTGTTTTTTGCTCCCTTACAGTTTTTTTGAAATTTATCTTGTTCATAATATATATGTTTCTAAATTTAAACTCCCTAACTTACAGACTTCCAGCCCATTCTTTTTAGAATTAGTGAAAGCAGGAATTTAAAAATGTTTTTCATTTTACACAAAAGGAATGTTTGATGTTTGAATTTTTCGAGCTGTTCAAAGTTGAGACCTGTTCCTAGGGCCATATAATCCTTAGTCTGTAAGAATAAAGTTAAACTTTAATGCAACATAAAATATAATCACTTTTTCATTTGCAAACTTTCCATCTTAAATAACATTTTATTTTGTAATTAAAACTTTCACATACACATTGTTTATACACATAAACCTTGTACCTTGGTTTGCTTTTAATTTGTGCATTAATAACAAATTTGAAGTAGAATTTAATATGTTTGAAAATGAATTACATATGCCTTATTAAACACAGAAGAACTGTTTTATTTTACAAATTACAGTTATTTATTTTTTAATTTTTTTTTATTGTACTTTAGATGAAGGTTTACAGAACAAACAGTTTTTCGTTAAAAAGTACACATATTGTTTTATGACATTGGTTAACAACCCCACGACATGTCAACACTCTCTCTTCTCAACCTCGGGTTCCCTAATACCAGCTTTCCTGTCCCCTCCTGCCTTCTAGTCCTTGTCCCTGGGCTTTTGTGCCCCATTAGTCTCGTTTTGTTTTATGGGGCTAATCTTTCATTACTGAGCTAAAAGGGTATCCGGGGGTCATACTCTGGGGTTTCTCCAGTCTCTGTCAGGCCAGTAAGTCTGGTCTTTTTCTCTAGTAACATGCATTTAGATGAGTAAACACTTAGTAGGTTCACAGGTATTTGGTTTGATAAACTAATTAGTAAAAACTATATTTATTCAGTCTAATTGATAAAATGCTTTCTCTTCTATATTACAGGAAAACAACCAAAGTTTTAAGTAGCATTTTAAGAACAGATGAATTTGAAGATAAAAGAATTATTTGTTTTCTATTATGGACACCTACAAATGAAGTGGATCTAGTAACAAATAACTGCAGTGGACTGACAATTCAATTTATTTTTAATTTTGATGGTTGGCTATTTGGTTTTTCCTAAAATGAGAAAGATATTATAAGCTATAAAGAATTTTCTAATCAGTTTCAGCTTTGCAGGCAGTTACCTGCATAAATTGGAAAGTGACACTGGAAAGTAGAAATTTGGTTAGTAAAGTGGGAAGACTGTGTGTAATTTGCATCTACTTGCAATTTTTTTCTTTTTCATCACTTGTAATAATGGATTGGAAATGCAAGCTGTAAAGATTCTCAAATATAAAGTATTTGCTACAGTGTATATATATGGTATATAATTTTTTGTTGCTTTTAAAGTTGTCTTTGTTCTTTTTCTCACTGATTTCATACCAGTGCTTGAAACGACGTTAATCTCTCCAGTAGCTTAGAATGATTCAAGATGTTCAGTGCATAGTTATCATTGATGGTGGGAGGGAGAATTTTTTAATAGCCATTTCTGATCAAATATATGATTGATCTGTAGGTTTTGACAGTAACATTGTCTTAGATTCATAATTTACTAGTAGAGATTTACAATTTGGGAACAGTAGTAGTGAATGAAACTGAAGTTGAAAAATAGCTACTACTTGTGTCACTAATCAGACCATATGAACAGTAGAAGTTGAGCAACTGCCAAAAATAGAACTGATACTTTATTTCCAAAAAGGAGAAATTTTGACATTTGCAAACAATTCAGGTGCATTAAGTTTCAATTCCGTAATTTCTTATGTCAAGGACATAAATGGAGGAAGAATTTTTGGGTTTAAACTTTTAACTCTTAGAAATTTTATACATTAAATCTGCAATTTGTCACTCTGGATATTACCATTCTTTAAAAATAAAAAAGTTTCTCGCAACACCGTGTCACAAAAAAAGGAAAAAAAAATGCTGTTACAAAGGTAAGTGTAAACTCTCTGTACTTCTAATCTCTCAGATCCTGGGTCTATTGGCAAGAAGTGAAAGGCCATCGTTTGGTGGAATGTTTTATCTTCACTGAATCGTGAACTCCTAAAACCAGTACCTTTATCTTCACTGGATTTTGAGCTTGTTACCCAGATTCAAGCTTTAGTCCAGGTAGATTTCCCATCTTGGTCTTTCACTACTTTATTTTTATATTACTTTGTTTCCCAGAAAAATGGATTCCTTCATAAATAGAAAAAAAAATCTTCATTAACCTTAAGTTTACTTTTTAATTTAAAATGAGATACTTGTACACAGGGCCGAGTTTTTTCATTTACTTTTTGCACTACTGTGTTTCTTTTATACTATAGGTCTAAGTATATATATGTGAGTGTTAATACATTCATACAAACATACTCTCACACACATATACACACAAATATATGTATAATTTGTATAAGAGTTTAGGTCAGAATTACATATAATTAAATTGGTTTGCTTTATAATTTACCTATTCTCAGGTTCTTTTGATTCTGGTTTAAAAAATATGACAGAACCTATTCCAGTTTGAAAACTAGAGAGCCCTTCCACTTAATCACCACTGTTATTGAAGGCAGAATCCTTTTAAAGTCATGCTGCCATGCTACTTTGGAAACTACCTAGTACTCAAAAGACTTGATGTGCTTTCTGAATCTGACACTGAAATGGACCAGCCAGAGCAATGTTTTGATTGGTTATGATTTGTTTGTGTTTACTGGAAGCATTTATAACCAATGTTTTTAAGAAGAGGTTGTATGTCAAAAGTTTCCTAGGTTTCAAAGTAAGTTGATCCTTTCTTACTGTATATAATCAGAGTGAGACTACAAAGACTATTTGCCTTTGTACATATGTATAGCTTGTTTGAATAATCATTGTACATCTTCATTAATGTTCTTTGCTTTGTGTATAAATTAAAGAGTTGTGCTAGATCTTGTTTCATAGTGTTTGTCATCTTTAGAATAGATGAGAGACAGATATATACATATGTCAAATTTTACCATTTATGTCTAGTAGAAAAAGCTCTAGAAGGAAAAAAACTTTAATTTTATGTAGATCAAATGAGGACTAAGGTCATGCAAGGTAAAAGTTAATGTTCCCACAAATTAATTTGAGAAAATTTTTTAGGACAAATTTTATAATTAAAAAATAAAATTTTAGTTCAACTTTTCCTTTTTTTTCTCTGAGTTTTCCAACAGTGAAAAGATAAGGAAAAAATTTACTTAAACAGTTTTTTCCCAGAAGAGCTGTGGTCTCGAAGGAATTTGGACTAAAGAATAACATGGCAATAAATTTCTATATGTGTTTTATTTTCATTAGAAGGGTTTATAATCAGAAGAGATTTTATTACTAAAGATATTTAAAATTATGAGTTTTTATAGCAGTATATATATAGTTTTAGGACTGTAGTTATTCTAGTGTGGAAATTGGAAAACGTATGTCTTCTGTCCAGTACTTTATTGTATCTTCCCTAAAGTCTTGTGCTTATTTTACATTTCTTCTTTATTTGGTTAGGTTAAAAAATGTTTTTAAAGTGTTTTTTAAAGTATTTTTAAATCCTTATTTAAGTGAAAATGTCAATTTTTCTTGAACAATTTTTTTTATTGTACTTTTGATGAAGGTTTACAGAACAAACTAGCTTCTCATTAAACAATTAGTATACATATTGTTTTGTGACATTGGTTACCAACCCCACAACATGTCAATACTCTCCCCTTCTCGACCTTGGGTTCCCTATTCCAAGCTATTCTGTCCCCTCCTGCCTTCTAGTCGTTGCCCCTGGACTGGTGTGCCCATTTAGTCTCCTTTTGTTTTATGGGCCTGTCTAATCATTGGCTGAAGGGTGAACCTCAGGAATAGTATCTGAGGACCATACTCTCAGGGCTTCTCCAGTCTGTGTCAGGCTAGTAAGTGATCTATTTTTGTGAGTTAGAATTTTGTTGTACATTTTTCTCCAGCTCTGTCCAGCACCCTCTATTATGATCCCTCTCAGAGCAGTCAGTGGTAGTAGCCGGGCACCATCTAATCGTGCTGAACTCAGTCTGGTAGAGGCTGTGGTAGTTGTGGTCCATTAGTCCTTCGGACTAATCTTTCCCTTGTATCTTTGGTTTTCTTCATTCTCCCTTGCTCCAGATGGGGTGAGACCAGTGGAGTGTCTTAGATGGCTGTTCACAAGCTTTTAAGACCCCAGGTGCTACTCACCAAAGTAGAATGTAGAACATTATAAACTGTGTTATGCCACTTGAACTAGATGTTTCCTGAGACCATGGTTCCCACAGCCCTCAGCCCAGTAATTCGGTCCCTCAGGAGTTTGGATGTGTCCATGGAGCTTCCATGATCTTGCCTTGGACAAGTTGTGCTGGCTTCCCTAGTATTGTGTACTGTCTTAGGCTTCACGAAAATGTCAGTTTTTCATAAGAAAAGTTAACTTTCTAGATCACATACCAAAACTATATGCCATAAAATTTGAGCCAGACTCTTCCAAAATAAAACTTCCCTTTTGTTATGTTTAACTTATGTACAGGTATTTATGGCGCTAATAAATGATATAATGTTATTAAATGGTATCCTAACTTACCACAACATTGTGCACTTACTGTGAAAAACTAGTTTATAACCTGACAAATGGATAGAGATTCTTTATATTCAAGGTTTTTTTTTTATGCCTATGCATTATCTTTTTTAAGTAATATAAAGTGAATACTCATGGGACTATGAGTTGGGAATGGAATAGGCATTATTGAAGAATAAACTTCACTCACAGAAAATCAGCTACATAAAATCACAGAACATCTATTTAACCCTTTATGATAGCTGACAGTCTACACAAACCCTGTCCTATGAATTAATCTTCCAAAAGTTCCCACTTTAAATGTTTTTCCTTCATTATAAGAATTTCTTTTGCACAATTTTATTCCTTTATCTGTACTTTTTTTTCACATATTAGATTTTGCCATTAAAGGGTTTTATGTAGCAAAACAATTAGCATCAAATACTGAGAATAATAGTGAACATTGAAAATTGAGCTAAAATTCACACGAGAAATAAAATTATAGGATACATTTTACAAGAGTACACATCTTAGAGTAAATACATCAAACAAAAGTATACAGTAGATTAACAACCACAGAGAATTTTCTAATTCACATTTTAAACAAGAACAATTGTCTTGCACTTGGAACCATAAAGAAAATGTTTAGGAACATCTAGTTGTTCAAGATCCACCATGAAGCTGAAAACAGAAAAACATTTTTTTAAATAATGAAAATAACTGCAAGCTACATGTTTGTTTAAATTTTTTTCTCTGCTAATATCCCCTCTGCCCCCTTTTTTGACATAGAAATCCAGGGCCAAGTAAATTCAAGGAACATACTGTTCTTAAAGAGACCGTTTCCTCCCACCTTTTTTCTGCATAATTATCTTTCTAGTCACCATTTCCTGACTATTTGAACCAAGATTGAAACCTTCCTATGTGATTGTTAGTAGTACCATTTCTTTTGGCACTTGGTTGTAATCTAAAATTGTTTTATTTGAATAGAACTTGTCTTGGCAATAAGATTATAAATGCCCTGAAAATAAAATCATGTTGTAGTTTTTAATCTATCCAGTACCAGTAGGTGATGGATAACTTTATATGGAAAGGGAAGAGGCCCAGGATAAGTAAAGCACTATTGAAGAAGAATAAAGTAGGAGGACTTGCAGCACCTGAACTCAGAACCTACTATACAGCTAAGGTAGTCAAAAGAGCCTAGTACTGGTAAAACGACAGGCACATTGACCAATGTAACAGAATTGAGAACCCATATGTAAATCTATCCACCTTTGGTCACCTGATCTTCAACAAAGGCCCAAAGTCCATCAAATGGGGAAAAGACTTTTTAACAAATGGTGCTGGCAAAACTGGATGTCTGCAAGAAAATGAAACACAACCCATACCTCACACCATATACAAAAACTAAATCAAAATGGATCAAAGACCTAAATATAAACCCAAAAACTATAAAGATCACAGAAGAAAAAATAGGGTCAACTCTAGAGGCCCTAATACATGGCCTAAATAGGATAAAAACCATAACTAACAATACACAAATACTAGAAGAAAATCTAGATAACTGGAATCTTCTAAAAATTAAACACATGCTCATCAAAAGACTTCACCAAAAGAGTTAAAAGAGAACCTACAGACTGGGAAAAAAATTTTGACTATGACAAATCCAGCAAGAGTCTAATCTCTAAAATCTATAGGAAAAGCCAACACCTCTACAACAAAAAGACAATCCAATTATAAAAATGGGCAAAGGGTATGAACAGACACTTCACCAAAGAAGACATTCAGGTGGCTAACAGACACATAAGGGAATGCTCGAGATCACGAGCCATCAGAAAAATGCAAATCAAAACTACAACGGGATACCATCTCACCCTGACATTACTGGCAGGAATTAAAAAAAAAAATGTTGGAGGGCCTGTGGGGAGATTGGAACTCTATGCACTGCTGGTGGGAATGCAAAATAATACAACCATTTTGGAAAACGATATGGCGCTTCCTTAAAAAGCTAAAAATAGAAATACCATATGATCCAGCAATCCCACTCCTAGGAATATATCCTAGAGAAATAAGAGCCATCACACAAATAGACATATGCACATCCATGTTCATTGCAGCATTATTCACAATAGCAAAAAGATGGAAACACCCTAAGTTCCCATCAATAGATGAATGGATAAACTATGGTACATACACTAATACTACACAATGATAAAGAACAATGATGAATCTGTGAAACATCTCACAACATGGATGAATCTGGAGAGCATTATACTGAGCAAAATAATCACAAAAAAAAAATATTGTATGAGACCACTATTATAAAAACTCATGTAGACAATAGATAAGTGGTAACTATGGTGAAAGTTAAGACAGTACACAATACTGGGGAAGCCAGCACAATTTGACCAAGGCAAGGTAATGGAAGCTCCACAGACATCCAAACTCTGTGAGGGACCGAATTACTGGCTGAGGGCTGGGGACTATGGTCTCAGGGAATATCTAGCTCAGTTGGCATAACATAGTTTATAAAGAAAATGTTCTACATTCTACTTTGGTTAATAGCATCTGGGATCTTAAAAGCTCGTGAGCAGCCATCTAAGATACTTCACTGGTCTCACCCCCTCTGGAGCAAGAGAGAATGAAGAAAACCAAAGACACAAGGGAAAGATTAGTCCAAAGGACTAATGGATCACAACTACCACAGCCTCCACCAAACTGAGTCCAGCACAACTAGATGGTGTCCAGCTACCACCCCCAACTGCTCTGACAGGGATCACAATAAAGGGTCCCAGACAGAGCTGGAGAAAAATGTACAACAAAATTCTAACTCACAAAAAAACAAACAAAAAACAGACTGGTCTGACAGAGACTGGAGAAACCCCTAATAGTATCGACCCTGGGCTCCCTTTTAACATCCTGAGGTTCACACTTCAGCCAAAGATTAGACAGGCCCATAAAACAAAAGAAGACTAAATGGGCACACCAGCTCAGGGGCAAGGATGAGAAGGTAAGAGGGGACAGGAAAGCTGGTAATGGGGAACCCAAGGTCGAGAAGGGGAGAGTGTTGACATGTCTGGGGAGTGGCAACCAATGTCAAAACAGTATGTGTATAAATTGTTTAGTGAGAAACTAATTTGCTCTGTAAACCCTTGTTGAAAATACAATTAAAAAAAAAAAAAACTAAAGAGAGCACCATTGATAAAATATGAGGGGGAAAGAATATATTACCTTTTAAAAGGAAAAGACAATACAAAAGCTCAAAGAAACATGTGAACCCAGGATAATTACCAGGAACAAGCATAGTAGATGTGAGTTCTGGAGTTTCCAAGAAATCCACGTTACTTCTTTGGAATGTCTTGCTGTAATTCGTCTGAAGATGGCTGTATAAATAATTTATAAGTTAAGGCTGTGCATTTTTATTTACAATCTTCCTAGCTAGAATGCAGTGGGCATCAAATTCAATCAAAATGACAAGGTTTTGAATGATCTAGATTAAGTGCCCAAATACAGTCTTTTAAAAATGGTTATTTAGCCTTAAGAAAAAGATTCAGAGGCTAATTTAACAATTGTCATCAGAAACAAGAAAGATTTTTAAAAGAGAACATTAATTCCCCACAGAAGATAAAACAATATAAGGTAGACTTTAATTGCAGTGGGAAATATAAACAGAAAGAAGAATATCTTGGCTGTCACAGTGTTTTAAAAAATCGGATACTGAAGAAAAGGACTGTAGATAACCTACATCTCTGGAGAATAAAAAGAAATAAAAATCACCTATTTTGAAGTATAGCTCTGGAAACACTGAATTAAATAACTTGCCTTTTAACTTTCCCTTCTGTGCCTGAAACTCCGTAGGTCTCAATATGCCTTAATAATTCCACAAAGAGCCTTCAAAATAGTCACAAAAACTGAACTTTTTTGGTGAAATATGTATCAACTGAATTTCTAGGCATTCTATTACATCCATTACCAGATTTAACACCCACCTAAACATGGATTTATTGGAGAGCTATATTTGTGCTACTTAAAACCAACTGGAACTGTTTTCTATAATCTCAAGACAGCAAAAAGTGTCCTTGATCCATTTTTCTAATTATATATTTTGTTATTTATTACTAATTATTTTAATGTCAGGGAAATTGATTCATTTTATCTTTGCCAAACAAGGTCCTAAATTTCCTCTTTATTTGCAGTGGTTAAAGACACTTAGTGAATTTGTTAGGCCTTGAGGATCTTAACCATTATATCTAGCTTTATTTGTAAAATAATAACTACAGAGCTTATCTTATGGAAATTTAGTAGGTAAAGAGATTTTTCTGGTCCTCCCTTTTCTACATCCTTTGTCTCACCCCTTGCCTTAGACTCCCATGGCCTCTATCTAAACCTTACCTAAAAACATCAGTAAAGTTAATTAAAATTTGAAGAGGGATATGACCAAAAGTATTTGTGCCTCAAGAGGAAAGTGGTTTCTAATCCATAAAAGAAATTCCTAAACGTGGAATTCAGGATGATGAGTAAATAGGACAGGTATTAAAGAGAGGTAAAGGGAATGGTGTTTTTCCTACAAGTCTAAAAATTACATCGTGTACATTGCTACCTATGTGGCTTCACAAAAAATAATCCCTGCTCATAACTTACCTATTCCATACACTAGTATTCTCCCAGAACTCATAAATCATGTAGCGAGATTCATTTGAAAGCTTCTGAATAGAAATACTGAAATGAAAAAGAAAAGGCATCATTAGCCAGAGGAAATTTAAAGACAAGAAGCGAGCTAATTTTTGTAATCATCTCTATATGTGGCATGAAACAATCTTATCCATTGGTATAGGAAACAACTTATGGTGCCTGCATGAGAATTGAACAGTTTTGTCCAGAACTGATTAATTCAATTTATCTGTTTGCTTGGCATAAGAATTTTTCAATTTTCTTGTGCAGCATCATGACAATCTCAATATAGTATAGATATCACAAATACAACTTCTGTGAAATTTCATTCATCCATTCATTCAAAAGAATTTATTGAGCATCTGTTGTACCAGGGTTCAGAAAAATATGAGTGCATGCAGCTGTCCTTGTCCTCAAGTATAATTCTTTGTATTGGGTCCTGTCAAACTCTGTAATAACTCTTGCCAAATTCTTGGCCTTACCCGTTTCTCCCTGCATGGACAGCTTTTGTCTCGGGTCCTGCTCTAAGCCACTGGAGTCACCTGGACCACACTGCTGCTGCTATACAACTGACTCCCAAGTTTCTCCAGTGACCAGTGGTCCTCTCCCTCTTTCCCTGTTACACACACACACACACATTCACCCCTCAACTTTGTCTTGGTCCGGATTAAGTTTGAGAGTCCATGTTCCTGCCGTAATTTTAGTTTTTCATTCCTTTTCCAATTTGGGGAAGACAGATTTGTTCCTTCCAGTTCTTCGACTAGCCTGAATGTGGCTAAAAGCCTGCATGATATGTTTTGGAGGAGTGAAGAGAGGTATGGCTGAAAAGACAGGTTGATGTGAAGATTGTGGATTTAATCCTGTAGCAATGAAGAACCATTAAAGGTGTTTTTTTGTTTTGTTTTATTTTTTGCTTTTTTAATCTGGTGCTTTTTAATTCCTAAAGATATAGCTATTATTATTTTTTAATCCTCATTCTCCTTGTTGGGTGCATCAAGTGGATTCCAACTCACAGCAACCAGGTGTGACGAGTAGAACTGCCCCATGGGTTTTCTTGGCTGTAATTTTTACAGAAGAAGATCACCCAGTCTTTCTCCCACAGAGCCCCTGGTTGGGTTCAAACTGCCAACCTTTTAGTTAGCAGCCCAGTACTGAACCTTTGTGCCACCAGGGCTCCTTGCCATTGTAGGTTTTAAAGCAGTGAGAATGACATGGTTAAAGCTGTGTTTAAAGGACCCTTCTGATGGCATTAGGGGTATGGTACGGAGGGCAGTCATACAAAGTTTGAAGAAAACCTAGAGATTAGTGAAGTAGCTTAGGTGAGGGATGGTAAAGATTGAAAGTAAGACACTACTGGAATGGCCTAGTGGTTAAGGTGTTGGATTTAAGATCCAGCGGGGTAGTACCCACATGGGTTCAAACCCTTTCTTGGTAGATAAGCATTTCATCTCCATAATCCTTCCTGAAAACTAAGGTAGAAACAAAGGAATAAAGAGGAGGGGACAGATTCATAAACTCAAGGGAGATGGGAGACAAAAAGATGCCTTTAAAAATTAATCCCACAAGTCTAGTTTGTACAGCCTAATGTTTCACAATATATTCAGACTATAAAGCAAAATGTGAGGCTAGAAAAACAAATTTTGAGTAGATAACAAAGAACATACTAGGAAAATATCAAAACAAACAAAAAAAAAACCCAAACCCATTGCCATCGAGTTGATTCCGACTCAAAAAATAGTCTGTAGATTTTGTATATACCTAAATATGACCAGCAGGGGGCAGGAGCTAAAAACAAATTTAAAAAATTTTTTTTTTTTTTTTTTTTTAAATCTCTGCCTGTAAATAGTTCAATGTTTTTCATGGGTTGTTTATCTAGCTTGGTTCATTGAGGTATAAAGAGACAAATATTGGTATTAGTTCAAATTCGGATTTTCTGTGGAAAGGTTTATCAGAGGATAATAGGAATTGAGAAATGAAATTGGAGATTTTCTAGGTCTACAATCTCAAACGTTTAAGAACTGCTGGGCTAAAGCGCAGTTCAACCCTCGGCAGGGAAGCTGAGGCCTAGAATCACTAAATGGGTTACACAAGATCACATAATAAATTAGTTGCAGAGCTGGGGCTAGAACACAAGTCTCCTGACTTCTAGTTCAAGTTCTTTTTGTTTTTTAAGTAAAACTTTTTATTGAAGTGTGACTAAGCTCTCTTCTTCCTTTTTCTTTTTGAAAAACCTCCTTCCTCTAAGATTAAATGATTCTACATTTTGTGTGCAGAAAACCTAGGATGCTTATAAAAAATACAGACTTACTGAATCCACCCTCACAGATATATTGTCTAGTGTCAGCCTGGAATCTGCAGTTTTACAAGCCCCTAGGTAACTTGGATGTGAATAATCCACTTAGAGGCCACACTTAGAGAAAGACTGCTTTAAATTTTCCTTAATTCACTCATTTGTAATCATATGACTGTGATCCATAAGTTTAAGTATTCTGGTAAATTATAAGTCTATTCCAGAATACTTATTTTTGTTCAAAAAGAGCATCTCAAATGATTATAGATTTCATTTCCTGTTAAATATCTTTGTGTTTATACATCTGGTGAAGATATTTTCCAAACCAAAAATTTGCACAGGGAACCTGACAATGTAAGGGGCAAATTTCAATTCAAGTCTACTTTCTTCAGGAGAAGGTTTAAAATACTTAGCCTAGCATTTCAGGCTCTTCTTCAACAACTTCCTGCAAACTAATTCATTCGTATTACTTATTACATTAAAAACCCACTTATACTGCTGCCTGAACCTTCCATTTTCCAGACTAAGCACAAGACTATACAAAATTCAGAAAATCTTAGAATAATACTGACTCTTTCCAAGGACTGAAGAGGATACAGTGTTGATAAGGTAGTGGTTTGAAGTATGGCCCAACCACTTATTAGCAATGTGACCTTGGGCCCATTTCTTAACCTCAGTTTTCTCATCTTTAAAATGTTGACAATCATATTCCTATGATGATTAAATAAAGTGTTTCATGTAGAATGCTTAGCCCAGTTCTTGGCATATAGTATGTGTGTGTGTGTGTGTGTGTGTGTGTTTAATTAGTTGTTAGCGCAATAGCCAAAAAACGAAGTCTAAGTAGCTGTGAAAGCTAAGCCTTAGTGGTGTCAAAGCTGAGAAGCGTGACAGAAGTAAAAAGAATAGGGAAAAATGGACCAGAAAATAAACAGGGAAATGTGACAATGAGAAGCTGCTAGTCAATAATGATAATAATCATAATGTTAGTAGTACAAGTATTAACAATAATGGTGATGTCGATGATCACTTACACGAACTGCTCTCTTCCAGACCCTAAGCATTTTGCATGGATTAAGTCGTTTTACCTTCACAGTTACACTGGGAGTCATGTGGCAGACACTGTCAGCTGCCTACCCAACTGTTACTCTCCTCTTGCTAATAGAACTCTGCCATTGTTCAGGCTGCAATTTGCCTAATGTACCAGCCAGTACTGGACTGAGACAGTCATAACAATCTCACTCCTCTTTGCTGGATACTTGCTTTAGCCTCCCCTGTAGCAAGGAATGGCCATGTGATTTGAGTTCTGGCCAGGGAGATGCAAAGGGAAGAATGCTGAGGTGGGGGGCAGGGGGCGAGGCTCCTATGGAAAACATTTGCATCCTTAGGATCAGACATCGAGAGGAGAGTTTGCTATTATTGCTCCCTTCTTTCTGCGTGTAGGCCATCTGGTTGAGAGCCATATGGCAGAGCTGAAAGAAAGATGGTGGTGCCGAAAGACAGAACTTGGATCTTTGAAGACAGCAGTAAACTGCAGATGTAGCCCTGAGGCTTCTACCTCCAGACTTCTTAATAGAGAAGAAACAATGTACTTAGGATGTAAGCTACCATTGTTGTGCTTTCTCTAAATTGTAGTTGAAAACATTCCCTCTGATACAGGTAGGTGCAATTGTTTTCTCCATTTTACAGATAAGGAAACTGAGGTATGGAGGGATTAAATAACTTGGCCAAATAACTTGATCATACAGTTAGTAGTGATGAAACTGGGGTTGGAATCTAGACATTTTTACTCCAAAGGCTGCCTCTTAGCCACTTTACAGTACAGGAAAAAGAGTAGGAAACCTAAAAAGGGTGACAAGAAGCAGATACAGAGACAACCAAGTGCAGATTTTGTCTCAGTAGGACTTGGGTGGGTGAAATACTAACCAGAATTCCTCTACAGACTGGGTGCTTTCCGAAAGGGCCACACAGACCACTAAATGGCAATGACATTTAAGGACATTGCTACTTGAGACTATAAAATACAGATAATGACATGTATGTGACGATGGCATGGAGCTAGCAGGAAAAGACTAATTATGAAATAATTTGGGGAAAGACATCCACTAGCAATTGTTAAAATAAAAAGGTTTAGGAATTAAATGATTGGCAGACAAAATTATGTGGCCCATATCTGAGCTGTTGCTTATATGATTTTACTAACCTGGAACACTCACTGTCTTCCTCCTCGACATGTTTACATATCCTGTGACACTTAACACCCACTAGCTGAAGCAAGAGTTCTCTGGCTAAGCTGTCCCTGGGTGTAGTTACTAAGAGCTTCAGCACTGAGCTTCAGGAGACCCTTAATAGTTGGAAAGTGAGTCAGTGAAGTGACTTTTCTGGGACAGGGAAAGTTGGGGTTAAAGATCTTACCTGAGGCAAACCAGCCCATAACGGACAGGACTCCCTCTTCCTCTCAGCTTCTTCCTTGCCCCACATCCCCTACCTTAAGCCAAAGAGCCTAGCCATGAGAGAAAAGCCACAACAGAAGGGACAGTCCCCACATGTCTTCATACCAAGCTCTGGCCACCAATTTATTTCGTTTATATAAAAACACTGATAAATGATTAATAGTTCAATGTGACACAGGGCACTATTAGTTCTTAAGGAGGTTTCTCTGGCCACGATCCAGGCTCAAGGTTGATTTTTAAAATAAAATCCCACATTCATGTTCCCTTGGCCTTTGACATAGAGTTTAGAACACATTCAAATTCTAGAATTTTATATCTGAGAGTGACCTCAGAAACCATTTCCATTTTGACAGCTGTGAAATCTTAGGCCAAGAAATATGGCTTTAATTGCTCTCTATCTTCATGCATGTGTATTCTATTCTCTCAACTAGAATCTAAGTTCCTTGAAGCCAGAAACTATTACCTCTTTCTGTGGTGTTAGCCACAGCTGAGAACACACTGTGTATACCACATATATTCAGTTGGTACTCTCTGCAAACACAGGAATTAATGAACCTTCCTGATTACAATAAGTGAAGAATAGTACCAAACTCTGTGTGTGTGTGTTTTATTCATGGGTCCACACAATTGATGTGTCTGAGTTTTCCCTAACTTAAGTCATTTTTAAAACTCAATTGACTAACTGCTATGACAAAGCTTGTGTCAGTCCCCAAGGCTCCGAGTCTCCTAGTCAAATACCTAGAGGACAAAATCTTCTCTAATTCAGTAGCCTGAACTGAAGCAAGTAGGACCTTGTTGTAACTGGAACAGGAAGGATCTTGTCTATTCTACCCTGGGTTAACCACACAAAGTCCAGGAAAATCTAATTCAAGGATTATACATGGGCTTTGGAGTCAGACAAACTTGGGCAAGTTATTTAATCCATCTGAGCTTCAGTTTCTTCCTAAGCTGGGTACCATACATATTTTAGATGATTGCTATAAAGATTAAGTAAGAAAATGGGTACCAAACGGCTTATCCAGTAAGTTCTCGACCATTTTTATTTTATTTTATAGTAGTATTTCCTGTCTAACCAAGTGTGCTGAGCCAAAAAGCAATGGCAAAAAAGAAACTGCCAAAGTTGGATAATTCACAGAACCCTATTTCATCATCAAGCACTCAGCAATCGTATGGAATCATGGCTGATGGCTTGAGTGGCCCATTTCATTATTCATCAATCGGTACGGATAGAAAATTGAGTTTGATTAATTAACTGGTATAAGTGAAAAATGACATTTAGACGGACCAGCGTAACATGTCTTTCACACATATCCCATCCATGTGTAGTGATTCTTTGATGCTCATCCCATTTGATAAAGTCTGCTTTTTGATCATTTCAGTACAAGAAAGAAAGTGGCTGAAAAATCAGCAACAAGGAGTGAAGAGCCCTTAAGAAATAGACCAGTCTTACAAAGGAAAAGGAGAAGCTTATATTACAGGAAGAGTAGGTTCTCCTTCCCTCTGCTTCTCGGTGGGAGTTGAGGGGCAATTTTCCACGGTTACTGGGAGAGCAGAATTTGCAGCAGGCAGCACAATCCTATCTACTGGTTTCTTTTACTCTCCCACTGCCTATTTCCTGCTCCCTGGGGCTGTTTTGGTCTCTTCAGGTTATTTTCCCCATACACACCAAAGCAGCATTTCTGAACCTTAAAAAAACAAAACAAAACAAAATCTTTGTTATCCTTTAATAAATGTAAAAGATCTAACACATCCCTGGAGATTGTGATACACCAAAATAGACTTTTTCCTCTTTATCTACTCACTAATCAAAAAGGATTTTACTGAACTCTACTTTCTACAGTGTATACTATAGAAAGTATATATAGGTTCTTTTTGCATGTTCTAAAAATTAAATTTTATTTTTAAATGAGTATCTTTTTTTAAACTACATATACTAGAAGCCTGAGCTGGAGTGGTCATGGAATGGGGAAAGGAAAGAGCTGTTGATTTTTCTTTTATGTCCAAGCTCTGAAAACATGAGTTCAGAGATCTGTGCAAGTTCATAATAGTTGAAATGGTTATTATGCCACAGGGTAGCCTGCCAAGGGAGCAATCAGAGCGCGATGCACTGGAGTCAGGGCCTCGTCTACCAGAGATGATTTGAAATCAGTCTGTGAACCTGCCTGGATGCCAGTGGGAATTTCAATCTGTCCGAAACGCCTCTTCTCATCCAAATTGTTCTCTCCATTTTCTTTCCCTCAGTACCCCTAATGATGAAATTGACACAGAGTCCAAGTATAAAAGAGAAAACAACCAGTTAAACGTCACAAACTGCACAACCCAGAGGGCTGGATTAGTGAGTGTGATTTAACATGGAGAATTCTCAAATGCCAGTCTTTCAAACCCCACCCTCATCTACGACGGGAGGAAATGCCTTCTCCCCCACCCAACCCAGCTAAGGAGTGTACACAGGGCTGCTTACCGCAAGCATCCACTTTGGGAGGATGCGCTCTCCACGTAGTGTTTCAGAGCAAGTTGGAATTCCTCCAAGTCCTCTTCTATCACAGACATCTGACGCTGCACGAGCATGATGTGCTGCCGAGGAAGGGGCCAGTGTTACTGCTTGGTGGTCACAGAATCTCGCCCAAGCCAGAGCCTCTACAGCTCATCCCACCCCTCTGCACAAACAAATGATTCTCATTTAAAAATACGACCAATGAAAACCATGGCTATTCCAAGTAATAAAATTGTATAAAGCAGTAATAGAGACGGGGAATTTTTCTTGCTTCTTGTAACAGAAGGGTAAGGAAGGTGTCTTTTACAATGAGGTTTCCCTCCTTTAAAGCAGCGATTCAAATTAGAATTCTTAATTAGAATCACTGGGGAGGTTGTAAAATTACAAGATCTTTTATATTAGAATCTCTGGGAGTAGGGCTCAGGCACTCGTGTATTTTAAAACCTCACAAAGTGATTATAATATGCAGCCAGGGTGGCAATCAATGCCTTGAAGTCATCTACCACATTTTAAAGACAAGTTTATAGTTCTATTTTGCACTGTGCACAGCTCCAACTGCTCCTTGGGCATTTTGTGATCTCCAAAATACTTCCTTGGATATTCTGTCTAGTATGTAGCATAAGACTCATTATGAACATCCAAATTTCAAAAAACGTGTGTTTGTTGATGCATTTCCAAAGTTACATTAGCCATTACAGGGTTCTCAGACACATTAATCACTTACAATTGGTCACTTTCAAAATCTTATGGTATTAGATGGAGCCTGTGTTTAATGGATCACATTAGTTTGGATGCCAACTGCTTCCCGTAACAAAACCTATTACCATTATAGATTAATGTTGTAGTTTGAAGATTTTCAGAAAGAGCTTCCTGTAGGCCTCTCATGGATTTGTCATCGTGAAAGCAGTCCTTTTGTCTTCAAGAATTGGGAGTGAATTGCAAAAGTGCAAAAGTGCAAAAAAAAAAAAAAAAAAAAAAATCTGGATTGGGAGTGAACCATAGAAGTGTAGAAAATAAAGTAAGGACCACCTAGAATATGAGAAAAATAACTTGGACAATATTTCCCAGCTAAGTAGCAGTAGAGCTAGAATTAAATTAAAATTCTGGTCTGCTGGCTCCTACTCTAATGAATTTCTCACTTCATGTGAATAATTACTGTTTGTTGAATACCAATTATTTTGTAGGCACTACTTTAGGCACTTTATATATATTTAATAAATGCTCCCACTTTGTGCCAGGTAAACACGAGGTGCTAGGTTCTGGGTATACATTGATAGATCAAGACAGAATTCTTGCCCTCATGGGTTTTAGTAAGGAAATAAATCAGGCTTGAGAACTATGTCTAGAAAATAACTCTGGGTATGGTTACTGGCATCTGAAACTGACTATAAGTAAACTGATCAGAAATCTATTAAATATTAGAGGGAACTGCTTTGCCAAAGAAATCTTGAGCCCAGTCTTAAAGTTCTTTGATTGTTTAAACTTTAAAATAATATTTAGCACTCCAAACTTATACGAGCAGAGAGCAGTGAATGCTGTGTAGCCCCCGAGGAAGGTAATACTCCCCAATGGGTCATTTCAGATGTGGCCATAGAGGATAATGCACCAAGAACCTTTCAAATGAACAATGGACAGCAGAGTTCCTCCTGGAATGGAGATCCAGTTTCTAATCAAGGAACTTACTTCTTTGAAAAATGCCTTCTAAGCATGAATTCATCACTGCAATGGACCAGTGAATGCTGTGTGTCTCCCATTAGTCCCTTTTCTCAATGGCAGTTATTCTGGCCCAGTTTTATCACTGTATACTTGGGGTATGTGTGTGTGTATAGTGGGATGGGGCAGATAGCTTGACTTTTTGTTCATAGGTTTGTCACATCTCAAGGGAATACATCCTGACCTTATAGACAGGACTGAGCATCATCTGAATTTTGAGCAAGAAGCAATAACCGGAGGAAATTTTGGATGGTTCCCCTTGTGGACGAATCTGAGTGTATTCTACATATGGAAGGAGGGGTGCAAATGAATATTTGACGACCAGAAAACGGACTGTGGCAGAGACTCCAATGTGTTCACCATAATCCATTCCTTCTTCTTTTAGGTACACAGCTAGGTGACATTTCTCAGTATCCCTTGTAGTTAGAATCAGCCAACTGATAAGTTCTCAGCAGTAGAAGATGAGCAGAAGTGCTCTATAACACTTTTAAGCCAAGACTTTAAAAAAGGATGTTAGCTTCCATGATCTTTTTTACTTCCTTTTCTGTTGGCAGGATGAGGACCTGCATTAGGATTGGCAGAGCTACAAGATGAGAGGACCCTGTGTGCCTGAATCATTGTATGGATCATTTACTAGGCAAAGGACATAATTCATTGTGTTAGAACCATTACACATTTTGGGTTTATGTGTATCTATAGCCTAGATACCCTAATGAGTTCAACAATTTTAATTAAGCTTTCTTTTATTTCCCTTCAGGACCAGAGATCAAGAATCAGTAGATACAAACCATCAACACACAAACCTCAATAGATAAGCTAGATAACTGGGATCTTCTAAAAATCAAACACCTATGCTCTTCAAAAGACTTCACCAAAAGAGTAAAAAGAGAACCTACAG